AAAAAATAATTTTCCAATTATCTATAAATGAAAATTAGAACTAGGAGTTTAGTAGGAATTGGATGAGAATTGAATCAAACGTTGTGTGGTTGTGTTGTAATTCTGAATATGCACACGAGTTTCCATTAACTACTACTAAGTTAATAGATTCTTCTTTCTGGAAGTCCAGAAAATGGTCCTCACCCGAATAATAATGGGTTTAACTGTTGAGTATTGTTTCTTGTAGATCTTATTTCTAATTGATGATTATTTTAAGCTTAATGCTGTTCTCACTTTTCTGCTATACTGGTATGCAGGTCTGCGGGAATGGTTTGCACAAACAGATGAAAGGGGTTCCCGTCCAAGAATCCCTGTTATGGTGAATATGTCCTCAGCTTCTGTTTCTTCAAACAAAGGCCACAAGCTACAGGATTCATCTTGTCTTTCTGCCCCTTCTCTTGATCAAAACAATGCTGCAAGCAGAAACTCTGTGATGATGGATGAATTCTCAGATGATGATGAAGAATTTCAAATAGCTGAATCAGAACAGGAGGTATGTATTTTCTGAATTTTTTCATTTTTTCCATGTTTCATTTTCTGGTTTGTATTTTTGCTTCTTATTTCTAGATTTTTATACTTGTTTTTATTTTTAGGCTTATACAAGTAGGTTGGAGAACGAGACCAAGAGAACAGGTGAATGATAAACAGATATTCTTAATCATTATGCTTCCACGTCTTGAAGAAAATCATTTTTATAGAATTAACCAGGACATCTAAACTGCATCTATTTTTTTTCGAATGTGTAATATAGGCATGTTACATCTACAGCTTAACCTAAAAAATTTGATCCATCAAAGGTTAGAAATTTTTCGACTAGCAAAATCTATTAACATTGCAAAATTCATGAATTGTAACTACAATGTTTTCTCATGTATTCCGATTTCTAACACAAAAGATTTGACAAAAATAGAAATTGCTTTTCTCTCCACCCCCCGAATTTTTGACAGAGAAAATTACATGTAGATTGAAGAACGAAACGAGTCAACTTTTTTCTCAAATCTTTTTGTTTGGAAGATCCATTATTCACCATAATATGTTTTATCCATTGAAGCCGTGGAAGAAGAACCAGTTCATCAAATTGATTTATCATGCTTTTCGGGTAATCTACGACATGATGACCGTGATAATGCTCGTGACAGTTGGAAACTATCTGATGGGAATAATTTCAGAGTTCGAAGCAAGCACTTTTTTTATGACAAAACAAAGGTTTTTGAACCTTTCACTTGTTTCTTCTGTTATATGCTTCTTGCTCATGTAAGCAGGGTTTTTATACCGTGATAACAAGCATCTTGGTTTTTCTTTTTTTGAAATGTTATCGTCGTAACAATATCTCTCAATGCACTATCAGATTTGTTGCTATCATATTAAATGAATAAATATACAAAAACATGCCATAGAAGCACATGCAAAATCATTTAATTACGAAGGACTTTTAAGCAGGCATTAAATAAGATGGAAGTATGGGAAGCATAGGAACTAAATAAAATTTACTTGAATGGAGCAAGATAAAGAGATTAAGTGACGATGAAACTAGGATTTGCACATTTCTGAAAAATTTTAGAAACCTTAAAAAATTTAAATTTTATCCAACAAGAAACTCTAGACAGCACATTGGTCCAATTTCCTCTTAAATTGGTTTTGCTTGAGGTCATGTTTTGGCTGGCACTCTTGATATGTGCAGAAATCACGAAGATATTCAATATTTGCGTATTTTTTTCCATATGAAATTATACATGAGCAGTCCTCTATGATATGTAGTGGCTGGTATTGCTGCTACTAGTACAGTTTCACTAACTCTTGCTTTTGGAATGTTTCTGAAGATTCCTGCAGGAAAGCATCTAATGGATCTTGTTGCTGTTGATTGGTTCAAAGACACTAAAAGAATGGACCATGTTGCCAGACGTCAAGGCTGTGCAGCACAAGTAAGCATTGAAAGCCACATTTTTAGTACCTTTGACCAATGTTCTGAAAATCTGCAACTTGCATACTGAGAGGCTGGTAATCTTTTCTTGGACCAGTTTCTTCTAATATGGGATGTAATTAGTAACTCATTGAATCACAATAAGAAGAAATATTTATTCCATTTGAGTTTATCTGAATATTGATTTTCTGAATGCTTATGTTCGGCATGTTGCAGAACCTGAACATTTCTGAGATAACATCTTATCATCTCCTATAAGTTGATTTGCTGAATCCCATTCCAAGGATTTGGAAATTTTTTATTTTATCTGTTCAGATCTGCGGAGATAGTATAGATCTCTATGCTTTTTTCTCTTCTAAAAAAATGATATTAGAATGTATTGTGAAGGTTAAGTTTATTGAAGTAAAGATATGCTACATTTGTATTTAAGCTTTACTTATAAATTTCAATGTAGGTTGCCTCAGAGAAAGGGCTTTTCTCATTGGTGATAAATCTTCAAGTAAGTTTCATTTTGTTCAATCATGGTGGTGTTCAAATTTAATGCATTGGGAGTTTGATATACTTTTATGTTGTACTGTAATAGGTTCCTGGTTCAACACACTATAGTATGGTATTTTATTTTCTCACAAAGGAGTTATTACCTGGATCGCTCTTGCAACGCTTTGTTGATGGCGATGATGAATTTCGGAATAGCAGATTAAAGCTTATTCCATCAGTTCCCAAGGTAGACTTGTGTTTACATCACCATATCATAGTAAATGCTTAAATCAAACGTTCTTGTTAGTGCTGGAAATGAACTTAATTAAGCTAAATAATTGGGCATTCAACCTTGGTTTAGTTGCATTGTACTTAGTTAATTTGTTTGAAGTTTTATTCAAGCTTTTTTTTAAGGTTTGATTGCGGTTTACGAAAAGAAATGAGGATTGAGTTTATTTTTGCTTAGAGATCCATTTTCTTTAGCTCGTGCTGCCTATAGTTTGACGAATTAGAAGATTTGGTACTGAATCCAAATTGTTCTGTCTATATCGAAGAGGGTACGATGCAGAAGAGAAGATCCTACTGTGCATAATGTTTTAATACTAAGAGATATTTATCTAATTTTAATGTTGATTTACTATTAAAGTATTTAGCTTATTGAGCTATTAGTAAATAACTTAATTTCCTATTTAGTAGAATTATTAGCTAGACTTTAAAACTCCTAGTTTGATTATATTCTGATACCTATAAATAAGGTAGCTTAATTAGTTATTTAGTATATTATTTATATGATTATTATACAAAATACTGAGGTATTGATTCGATTATTGAGATCTTAGATCTTCAATTTTGATTCTAAATAAAATTTTTCTAAGTATTATGCTCAAGTTTTCTTTATCCTATACCAATTGAGACCTACAAGAAAATTATAAACTCTTTATTTTTCAATAAGATTCTCCAAATTTGTGCCATCTCTTTGCACTTAGTGTGAAAGGTCAAGTTTTTCCCACATACTCTGTAATATGTTTCCCTAGTAACAATTTTACTGTCTCATTTTATTGTACTAGTTTTGACTTTAATCTTGTATATTTGTGTTGTATCATGAGCTTTCGAATACGTTTATCAAACAACATCAGAAATCTCGTTAGATGTGGGTAAAAACATGTAAACCTCACTAATATGAGAATTCACTATGTTCCATTGCCATGATATGATCATTGAATTTGTTTCATCCAGTTGATCAAATCTCGGATCTCCTTCAATCTCATCTCTAGGAGATGATAGAGTTTTCTTTTTTTTTCCCAAACAAGATTTGAATAAATTGAGACCACTTAAAATAATTCTTCTAATTCAACTATATATTGTTTAAATGTCTTGAAGCTCTTCTAGGTTTAAGGGTATAAGAGTAAATTACCTCCTTTATAATTAATTGTAATTGATTGTGTATTTATTTTTCCTTCCTAGAAAATTTGTATATATAAAATTATAATATTCAATAGAAAAACACATCAAATTATTTTTGAGATCGTATCAAATTTTTATGTTAAGAAATTCTAAATATTTTTATAAACCTTATTCAGTATTTATTATCGAAATAAGATGACCGTAAAGGGATCAGCCTTATTTGTTGGCCACTACAGCCCTAGCCGCCCGACACCATACACTAGCCACCTCCACCACAAGCTGAAATCATAACCAACCATCTCCACCAAGACTGGCCTTCATCACTGGATTCAATTTGTCCGACCAAGTTGCACACAACCCTAGACATGGTCACACAGTTGCATAGTCTGTCTAGACGCACAACCCTAGTTACCACCATCTAGGCATATCTCAGTCGGGCGCTTTCAGCATGTATGTAGATGCAGCCACACTGCGAGCAGATGCAACTGCACCACGAACTTTATCCTTGTTGTGGCCGCGTGATGTTGTTCTCTCTATCGTAGACGTAACCTGGTCATGCAATCTTTACTCATGTGATCTTTATTGATTAGCAATGCCCTAATCTCTGTTAGGACACAACCCTAGCCTTTGCGCAGCTCTCTTGGTTATGCACTATTTCCACCATTAGGTGCGTCCTAGACCCAACACAGATGCGATCCTCTATGCTCCATTATCGTCTTTCATGACACCTCTACTTGCAACGAGATGTAGACTCCGGATGGCAAATGCAGACAAATTGTTCTCTGCTATTGCCGTGCCCTTGTGTACAATGAGTTCCTATTCTTGATCCGAGTAAACTCAATAGGAGTTGACTCAATGAGTTCCTAGTTCGAGTTGACTCAGTGAGTTCCTATTTTGAATTGACTCAGCGAGTTGACTTAGTGACTCAGTGCAGAATGTGATCACTTGCAAGTTGTTGATTCCCCTCTTATGCAGCCACGTGTTCTAGGTAAAATCCTTCTAACAATTTTTTTTCGACATTAATTACCGTACAATTCTTAAAGGATGTCGAAGGTAATATCTAAGTTATTGGAACGAATGCCAAAATAACAACTTCATATCTTTGTGAATTCAATGTGGAGATTGAAAGACTAATGACTCGACTCGAGTTCCTGAAGAAAAAAATAGATGTTAATTTATTCGCGCACACAGGTGTGGCTTCTACCTCACATGGATCAAATGCCTCTAATAAGCTCTTCGAAAATTCTTGGATTGTAAACTCAGGAGACAAAGATCATATGAACAATAATTCTGAATATTTTCATACATATACTCCATGTCCAAATAATAAAAAGATTGTCATTGTTGATAGTTCCCTCAATACTATTATATGCAAGGGTGACATTGAGTTTACTTTTACCCTTATCCTAAAAAGTATATTACATGTTCTCAAACTGTGTACTAATCTTGTGTCGATCAATAAGTTCTCACAAGATTTAAACTATTTGATTCTTCTTATTGTGACTTTCGCGAAAGATAATTGGATGTGTTGAGGTAAAACGGATTTTGCTACTTGGATGCACTGAAGAAATCTTTTTTTGCTATTACTACTAACTTCATACAAAAGATTTGGCTCAAGTATAAAGGACTTGAGTACTTATTCTTTTTTATCTTAAAAGGTTATGCTTTTCTCATTGTTATGAAGTAGGAATATAAAAATTTATATTATGATATCTGTGATTTTACAAAAAAAAAAATGTGACATTTCTTATTAGTAATAAACAAGATTTAGTTCTATTTTCATTAATCCACAATAATATTTTCGAACCAACTCATATAGTTAATATTTTTTAGGCGCGATGATCTTTATCATTTATTAATGATTGCACTATATTCACTTGACTGTTTTTATTGAAAGTCAAAATCTGATGTTAGGTATATCATACATCAGTTCTGTAACATAGTAAAAACTCAATTAAAACTGATATAAAACGATTTCATATCGACAATACCAAAGATCTTTTTGGCCAAACACTTTCATCATTCTTTCATCATAAAGGAATTCTCTATGAATCATTAAGTGTCCACATTCCACAAAAAAAATGGAGTAGTGGAATGCAAGAATAGTCCCTTTTTAGTCACACCAGAGTTTTCTTTTTCTAAAATGTCTCAAAACAATATTGGGGTATAGTCATCCTTATCGCCACCTACATTATTAATCATCTACCTATTCACATTTTTAAATTCAAAAGTCCTCTAAAAATATTTTAAAATTTTCGTTTAACAGTAAGTGTTACAAATTATCTTATCCCTAGGATATTTGGGTGTGTTGCCTTCATTCATATTTATTTCCATCATAAAAGAAAACTTGATCCCCAAGCCCTGAAATGTGTATTTTTGGAGTATTCCTCTCAAAAGAGGTATAAGTGTTACCATCTACCCATCCAGAAATTCTACGTGTTTGCAGATGTTATATTTGTTAAACAAAAATCATACTTCACCCAACTTTATTTTCAGAAAGAGCCTATGTTTGAAGATAAAGGTACCAAATTATTAACAAAATTTACCTTAAGACATTTATCCTATCTCACAATTTGTGTCATTTGATAAGTGATCACTGTTCTATAAAAACTTTCTCATAAGTTTGAATACCGATCTAATATAGTATTTGAAATATTTTCTGACAAATGGAAGATAATATTATGAATATAGAAATGCAAGCATTTGAGAAAAATCAAATATGGGAAATTGTGGATTTATCCGAAGGTAATAAGCCAGTGGAATGCAAATGGGTCTTTTATATCAGATACAAGGCAAATGGACAATCTAGAAATATAAAACGAAACTGGTGGTAGAGAGATATACACAAACATATGGGGTAGACTACCAAGAGACATCTGCACCATTAGCCAAGATAAATACTGTACAAATCTTGTTCCATTAGCTGCTCACTTTGATTGGCAACTACAACGATTTAATATAAAAAATGTCTTCTTGCATGAAAATTTAGAAGAATAAATTTACATGGATATCTCATTAGGCTTTCACAAAGAAGTAGTATCAAATAAGGTATGAAAACTAAACAATGCATTGTATGGATTCAAGCAATCGCCAAGAACATGGTTTGGTAGGTATGCAAGGATGATGGTAAATCTTGAATTTAAGCAGGTTTAAGGAGATCATACTATCTTCATCAAGTACTTAAAGACAAGAAGAGTTACAACTCTCCTAGTATACATTAATTACATTATCGTAACATGAGATAATGAGAAAGAAAAACTGATACTAAACCAGTTTCTGACAAAAGATTTTGAAATCAAGGAACTTAGTAAATTGAAATATTTTTTAGAAATTGAAGTCACTAACTTTCGATATTTTTATATCTTAGCATAATTATATTCATAACCTGTTGAGGGACACTAGCATGTTAGTATGTAAATCAACTAGCACACAATGATCCTAATGACAAATTAGGAATAGTAGAAGAAAATATGCTAATAAATAAGGAAATGTATTAGATATTAGTTAGGAGATTGATATACTTATTCCACAAAAAACTAGACATCGCATATGCAGTAAGTTTTTTAATGAAGTGCACCTACAAGCAACCTACAATCATAGTTCAAAAGACCTATAAGCAATTTATAGAGTACTGCATTACATTAAAAGATCATTTGAAAAAGGAATTATGTTGAGGAAAAATGATAAACTATTCCTAAAGTTTACTATGATGCAGATTATGCAGGATGAGTTGTAAAAAAAGATCTACTACATAATACTATACTTTTCAAGGTACAATCTACTCACCTAAAGAAGTAAGAAGCAAAATATAGTTGAGGTTGAGTGCAAAATTAGAATTTTGGATAATGGCACAAGTGATATGTGGACTATCCATGGATAAAAAGAATTTTAAAAATCTTGTAATCAAGTAGGAAAACCCTATGTGCGTATATTGTGTCAATAAATCAGTCATAAGTATCATTCATAATCTGATGTAACACGATTGGATCAAACACATAAGTATCATTCATAATCTAATGTAATACGATTGGATCAAACACATTGATATCAACAAAACTTTTATGAAAGAACTTGACAACGGCTTAATATGTACTTCATACATATGTAGTAATTCTCAACTAAAAGATATGTTAACTAAAGGTTTAAGCAATTCAATATTTCAAAGTCTTATTGGCAAGTTGGGGATGGACAATATCTATTCCCTAATTTGAGGAGAAGTGTTAAAAAAATAATAAATTAGGTTAAAAGATATAAAAGTAAATTACACTATTTGTAATTAATTATAAGTTATTGTCTATTTTTTTTCGTTTTAGAAAACCTATATATATAGAATTATAATATTTAGTAAAAAACACACCCAACCATTCTTGACACTCTTCTAACTATAGATTAATGAGAATTTCCCTGGTTTGGTTGATGGTACTGAAAGACGATATCATCTTTTTCCTTCCTAGCATCACCCATAGAATGTTGTGTTGGGTCTTCTCCTACAACGATTTGGCAATAGAAATGTCCAACATGGAGGCTATTATGGATGCGCGTGGAGAATTTGAGCCCAGTGTTAGCAATGAAGATTGATGTCAGCTGTACAGCAAGGAAGGCCACAAAAAAAGCTGATAAGAACGGAGAAGATAATATGTCAGGCCATCTTTGGCTTGCACAGGTACGTGTAGACAGAGTAGGCGTGTGCTAGAATGAATGCATGGAGCAACTTTACAGACAAATTTGTAAGTATAGGAATCCACTGCCCATGCGAATCCCTTTTTTCTCTTACTAGAAAAAGAACAGCATAAACTATAATAAAGGTTGAAGAAATTCAAAAAAAAAAATACCTACAGTTCTTGGTACCATGTGGAATTTACAGAGAAACTGAATGTTTTGTATGTTTTCAACAGTACTATGTGAAATTTACATGTGTTTGAAAGCTATGCCTTTGAATCATTATTAGGGTATTTTTCGCTTTCTTAGTTGTTGAATATATATATATATATATATATATTTGGTGTCTTTTTCTTAATTTTCAGCATTGAACCATGCAGGGTTCATGGATTGTGCGGCAAAGTGTGGGAAGCACCCCATGTCTGTTGGGCAAAGCAGTTGATTGCAATTATATCCGTGGTTCTACATACTTGGAAGTAAAGATCTTTCGCAGTCTCTGATGTATGCTTGGCTGACACCAATAAAATGGTCAAATATAACATAATTCATCTTCTGCAGATTGATGTCGACATAGGTTCTTCAACTGTTGCTAATGGAGTTTTGGGCCTTGTTATTGGTGTAATTACGACATTGGTGGTTGATATGGCTTTCCTTGTACAGGTATGTATGTCCTCAACATTTTATTGATCCAACCATGTAATAAGGGAAAGCTACTTGTTGAGTATTACGTTTAGAACTTTAGATTTTTATAAAAAATGCTTAGGATTTAGCATAACAGGCAAAACCAGGTATTGACTGAATCTGTCAATTGGCCTCTCAAATGGCTTAGCCTTCTCATGATTTTATTTGTTATCAAGTTCCTGATAGCAGTTCTTGAATGGTTCTCTATATTGTTTAATATTTCCCTGTATACCACTCTTTTTTTCCCTTTTGCATGATTTCTTTGCCTTTCGCTGCATTTATATTATTTTTCTGCAGGCAAATACTACAGATGAGTTGCCAGAGCGACTAATTGGTGCCGTCCGTGTTTCCCATATTGAGCTGTCATCTGCTATTGTTCCAAAGATAGATCCGAATTCGAATTGACAAAAAAGCAATGACCATAACTGATTCTATAGGAAATCATTTGTTCAGATATCTGTAGTCAATTCTCAGTTTCATTGTTTGTAAATTTTCTTTCCTTTTCCTCTCCTCGGGGCTTGAAGGCGGAGAAGGGACAAGAAATTGAGTTTCACTTCCAATCGTTGCTTCCAAACAGGAGTTTCTCATTCTATACCGAAAGAAAGAGAAAAAAAAAAATCATTTTCTAATTCCAGTAAGCAATTTTTGCTAGCGTTAACAATGTTTGTCAGAACATTATAGCTCTGTACTGGATTACTATAAAGTATAACACGTCAAGCCTGCGACTAATAAGTGCCAACTCAAAATTGATAGATCAGGAATTAGGAGTCTCTTTCAGAGCAGTTCTTCCATGGCAATTATAAAACCTCTTTTACACCTAGACGATGGAAATCGCTTTTGAAATACCTTAGATATTTAAAGTTCTGTTATGACTGAGAGGCTTTTAGATTTAGCATTTTGTAGCAATAAGAAGCTTAGAAGAGAAGAAAATTGGGAGTTCATGAATATTTGGAACTTTAAAGAGAAGGTGCCTTCTCATTGCTGTTCACTCATCAGATACACCAGACTATTTTAATTGAGCAGGTGATAAAAAAGAAATGTACATTTAAAAAAGTTGTTGGAAATAAAAAAAGAAAAAAATTGAGGCTATTTAGAAAAAAAAAATAAATTTTTTTATTAAATTCGTATATAAAGTCACTTTTGTCTTCATTGGTGAAAAAAAATTATTTAAAATGATAAAAATTATGTTTATATGAAATACTATAACGAATTAGAACAATATATTCACGAACTAAATATTGTTCCTCCAATAAAAATTTTAGTAATTGTTTCATTTTGCTTTGAACCCTACTTATGAAATGAACAATTAATATATAATTTATTTACAACTGTAATTAAATTCTTGAAGAGCTAAAGTAATAATGAAATTCTCTATATTATAGTTTTTAGAAGGTTTTGAATTGGTGTTAAAAAAGAGAATAATTTTAAGGTATATTCACATTTCTTATATCATATTTGCATCTTCTGTTCAAAGAAGAAATTAAAAACTACAAAATATAAATATTTTAATAAAGTAGTTGATGGTAACAATTATTAAGTACAAGGCAAAATATCTGATTTTATTATTATTAGAAAATTATTCAAATTTTATTCTTAACTGTTATTATTTGTTAATGTTGATAACAGTGGCCATGTATGTTCGTTGACAAATTTAAATAGATACTATGTGAATGTCATATTATTAATATAATGATGTCTGTGTGGTATCTTCGTGTATTGATTTAAATACACAGTTGTAAGACTTATGTCTTGCCTTCTACATTGACCGCAAACCTCAAAGGTTCCATTGCCATGACACGAATTTGCACGAAGAGTGCATAATTGTATGGATTAGTTCATACTAACTTGTCAATTTGAGATCCAATTTAGAATTTTCTTTAAGAGGTATCAGTAAGAAATTTGAATGTAATAATATCGATTCATATATACATATATATGTATAGAAGAAAAGGTTCTCTTTTAATTCAAATGTTGTCCTTATAGAATAAGGATAGAAAGAGGAAAAAATCAAAAATTTTACATAGTATTTTTAATCGATAAATCAATATGATCAATTTATTTAGTATTTTTCGCACAAGGAGAAAATATGTTAGATTCTATAGAGTCAAAACTATGAGAGTTAAAGAAGTAATGACAGAAGGGAATAAAATAAAATAAAAGAATAAAAAAAGAAAATAAATAATAAATAATTAAGTAAATAAAAATAAAGCATAAAAACCTAGAAATGAACAAATTCAAACTTGAACAAGTATCTTTCTGATTCTCAATGAATAGGGGCAAATGCGAAGGACTTACAAATTCTATTTCGATAGGGTATATATTTGTATTACTATGAAATTCAAAAATGAAATAGTTAATCATAAGGTTACTATTATCTTTTTTGTCATGACGAATCTTGTATGTGTTTATAAGAAATGAAATTTGTCAATTTTTTTGGATATTAAAACGGACGTGGGAACACGTAAGAACCCTTAAATTGGTCAAACTATAGGAATTTCCATTGCCACCCAACACCCATCTCTTTAACACCCTACCTTCTATGTTAAACCCAAACCCTAAAGCACCCAACAACCATTTCCTTCGTGCCCTACCTTCTGCCAGTAACAAGGCTCAATGAAGCATCCAACAGTCATTAACTACTAACAAGGCTCGGTGAAAAAGTTGGCTACCATGTAAAGAAAAGAGATTGTCAATAAAGTAGTGCAAAGCAAGTTTCGGTGAAGCAGTTCGTAACCATGGAGAGAGAAGAGATCACTGATGAAGCAGCACTAAGCAAGGCTCCACGACAACAATGCAAGGCTCGGGGAAGCAATACTCATGCTTCTTTAAGAAACACAATGTCGACCAGCAAACAAAACAACAATATCAACACATATGGGAATTAAACAAGGGATAAAGAGCTAGACAATTGGCGAAGTAAACTCCACTAAATGCGAAAGCTAGGGCATGGAAACAACTTCTTTGTGGCATCAAGGAAGGTGATAGAATAAGCAAATTTTATATATGTATATCCATACATATATATTTTGATATATTTTAAGTTGTTCCAAATAAATGCTACATCAACGAACACATATAATCATTGCTAATATAACAGATAATAATGATTAATAGTGCAATTTAAATATTTTTAAAATTTGATAGTTAATTTAAACTTTAAAAAAATTTATCATACAATTTAAATATTTTACAAAAATTGAAAATAAAATTAAATATTTTGACATAAATATAACTATTGTCATCATATGAAGATCTACTATGAGAGTTTTGGAGAAAGGTACTAACAAAATTCTTTGAGCAAGATTCTCTCCAACAACTATGAAGAGATGAGAGCCACTGAGGAATGATGCAAGAATCAAGTGTCCTTAGTGCCGATTTTTTTTCAAATCAATTAATTATTTTATTATTATATTCAAATGAACAAACTATTTAATAGAAAATTTCGTAGAGAATTGACTTACCATTCAAGAATTTACTATTTGAACAAATATAAATATCACATGGTGCATTGTTTTTCAAATCCTAATGTTAATAGTTACCAAATAAGTAGTTCACCTATTTCCTTTAATTAATAGCTACATATGATAACTATATAAATTTAATTTATGCAAGAAAAATTGTTCCATCATGAAGACAATCTCCTCATCGTAATGGAAGACCATACTCGCAACAATTCTCGTCCTATATCCAGTGTAGTTTCACATTCGAAATCTCTGCAAAATCCTTCTCTTCTCCAAATTAACATTCCCTCCAACTAAAATCATAAACTTTCCTCTTCCATTTACAAATTCAATATGATATACGAAATCAAAGCTCTTTATTAAGAGTATAAAAGTAATTTACAATATCATTGGGTGGTTTGAATAATTGGTTATGAGTTGAATCTCGGGCCTTTGACCTCAAGTCAGAAAATTGAGCTGAGCTAAGGGTTTTTGTCAAAATTGAGTTAAAACTCTTAGTTTGATAATATATATAACCGAACTCTGAGCCACCATTGCCATCATCTCCCGACCAACAGTTAATGCACACTTCAAATCTGAAACATCAGATAGCCTAAATGCTTCACAATTAAGGGATAGAGACTGAAACTTTATAAATTAAGTTCGTATTTCTCTTTTCTTATTCTTTTTATCTTTAATGTTTTGCTCTTAATTTTTATGCTCATAATAATTTAATATGTTGTTTGATGCTTTACTTTTAATTTCCATACTCAAATATTTGATGTGTCAAAAATAAATACTTTAGTCTTGTTATTTAATTATTATATTAATTTAAAAAGCTCAGCTCTATTTTAATGGCCATTAACATTACGCAGAACAAGAATGCACAATCAAGAAACGCAATAATGGATAGAGCATCAAAATCATGTTAAAAACCTAATGATCACGTAAATATCCATGAGCTAACCAAATTACATTGTATAAATATTTCCAAATGAAAACAACTTTCGGCGATCAGCCTTCAGAATTAGTCAATCATCACATAACATGAAGAGAAACAAAGATAACAACACAAAATTTAAACTCTGCTAGAATTAAGAGCATGATCATAGAGTAATTTTTAGCATTAATACCTAATAATGAATTTTACGTACTCTCATTTCTAGACAATGGTTCCTTTGGTGAAACTGATGCAACAGAGACACATCTCGAGCTTAATCATACATAAGCTGAACACTGGATCTATAATATGGGCAGACCAGAAAAACAGGAGGATGATTCTATACGATTAGTAGTGTAACAATCAAATACCAAGATGTCAAGATGAAGGAAGAATATCAAGGGCAACTTCCTTAAGAGATGGCATAACTTCCTGCTGATGCAAACAAAGATATTTATTCTTCACTTTTCTCAGGACCTTCCAAGGACCTGGGTAGCACCTATTCAAACAATAACAATATCAATAACAACAGTGACAATAATAGTTTGAAGCATCAAATTGAGCAGAAAAGAAAAATTGGTTTCAAAGTTAGCTATTCAATTTGAAATCATTCAGCATATGTAATAAAATTTAAGAGAGCAAACATTAAAAAATTATAGGTAGATTTGCTGGCAATACCTGAACAGCACTCCTCCATTCTGTCCTTTAAAATTGTGAATGTAATATACAGTCTCCATCTTCCGCAGCAGTGTTTTTGAAAGTGCAGCCAGCTTTGGGTAGAAGAATGGTGGGTAATCTTTGTTTACTAAGGAAAATCAACTAGTCTAGAAGGGTTAAATTGATGCATTTAGAATATGCAGTAAGAATACAGGATTCCTACATAAGGTGTTCTGGTAGTAGAAACGGGTTGAGAAAGATCAAAAGTGATTGATGCATTTTAAATGTTTGTCAGAAAAATCATGCAACAAAAATTTAAAGTTAACCAATCACATTTATGGAGTCTTAAAATTTACCTATATTTCTGGAATACCTTAAAATTTCTAGAAACCAATAGAGGCTTAATTAGAAAAGTTACCAAATGACTTTAAATAGATTGTGTGCTTTTAATTTATGCAAATGATCACACAATCGAATAAAGCTACAAAAATGCAGGATAAAAACATACAGATTTGGAAAAGGATACATCCTGATCTTATGCGGTCAAGTTCACCATTGAATATCATTAGTTTCCTAGACGTGTTCATAACAGCTTCTTTATAAAGCTCATCCACCATAAGCATTTCTGAGTTGCAAAGGGAACAGGGGTCAATGGAGTTGAAAGTTCCAGAAGAAGGGAATCAGGAAATAATAGCACTACCATTGACATTAAAATACGGATAGGCAACTAGAAACAGTTCATCTTCTGGCTTCACTTGATCTGCCATTTTGACTTTTTCAAAAAGACCAAAATCCTCAAAAAAGGATGGCTTTGTCAGGTAGTCAAGTTTAAAGGAAGTGCCTTCAAATGCTGATTTTCTTGCAAATTTAACTTCATTTGCCTCTGGAAAAAACTGCCAATTTTGATCAACAGGTTTACGAACCTAAATTAGATGCTAGAAGATTTAACAGTGGAGAAAAAGATATCACCTTTTATGGCTGAGGTCCAGATATGATGATCAATGCTACATAATTGAAAATTTACACATGAAGCAAGAGAGGTTTTACATGTAAAGATTCCAAAAGGACTAACTCAAACCATTGAAACATTGACCCACCCCACCCAGATGTCACAGTTGCACATGCAAAATAAATAAATAAACAAAACAAAAGAAACTGGAGTACAAGGACAAGCAGAGAAAAAAATTTTAGAATATGGATTAAATACACGGATACTCACTATTCTGGTACGTGTAGCTTTTTCTGGACTTACAAAGCGGTCACAAAACTCACGAATTAGCTGCATACTCTCAGTCATTTCCACCCCTCCTTCACCATCCCCTGGCAATGGTTGATTTAGAGTGAAAGGCAGTAAAGTAGTGAAACGAGATCCTTCTTTTCATTCTTTTTTCCTCCCCTTCCTTTTCTATTCTTTAATTATTTTTCAGGGACACACCATGTCAAAAGATAAATGTAGATAACCTGATACAGATTCAAGTCCAGCTGTTGGAAAGTCAATCTCCTGTAGAAGATATTTGTAGATCAGAAACCAAATAGTGATTTGGAAACCTGAATGTGACTTTGATTAGCCATTCATGATGAATGCTAACTTACCATCAGCTGCTTGTTATCCTTCAAAGCTAGTTCAGTAGCTTTTTTGGCCTGTTAAGTGTTACATGCAGAAAATAAGAACATTCACATACTACATAAGTTGATGCCTGTGAAAATATCTTCGGTTAACATCTGTGTAGCTATTGAATTTATAATTACTGAGCCAAGAAAAGCTAACAATTTTAGGATCTAGAGATCTTTGGCTTCTAGGAAAAGGAAGGCCCAAAAAATTTACTATTTCAAACTAAGACATAAATTTTATGCGCAAAAAAGCAAACCCTCATAGCTAAAGATTAGATATAGCAGACAAACTGTAACAATAAAAAAAAATTTAAAAAGCATCCTTCGTTCTTAATTTACTATTTCTGACAAACTCAAAGCTTAAGCCAACATAGAAACCTAACCAAATTTTCATGACATATAGGCTTGCTATGGTTCATCTAGCAAATATAGTTTTTTGCTCTTCGCCATCCACTGCTCACGAACCACATGACTTAACAGTATGCCAACTCCTGATTTTAATGACGATAACTAATGTAGTGTTTTAGTCTTGCAAACTACTCCAGGTGGACCACATGACTTCGACAATGTGCTTACTCTCCTAATGGTAACAACTTCTGATCTCTTTTAAGCGACGGAAAAATGTTTGCCTAAGATGTGCTAAAACTTGAAAAAGAACTACAATATTCATGCTTTATAGCTCAAAGAAAAGATAAGTTTTCAGGAAGTTTGACTAATCTCTCTACTGAAGTTCAGCCATCAGCGATTGCAACAGGTATACTACTGCTGGGTATCATGTGGACATGTCTATTTCACCAAAGATTCAGCCCTACCAAACATTGTGCATTTTTTGATATTAGTAGAAAAGCCTTCTACTTGGAACTTATTGCAGAAGGAGATTCATTAGAAAAGAAGATGAAGGACATATACATACTGTCAATCAAACTAGAAAAGTGAAGTCAGGCAGTAAACCAATCTATGAGTAGAAATGGCCATTGTGAGGAGAATATATCCTCATTTTAAGCTCATGTGCCATAATTTATTTCATATATAGAGTATTGTTATCTACAAAAACAACATTATGGGCATATGCACAACTTTTCCTCAAGAAAAAAGAGTAGATGTAACATAAGAACTTACTTGTTCAAGAAGCTCAGAATAGTCACTAGGGAATGGAACATCGAATTCGACCAAGGTATTATCATTCCTTGAAGCAGAATTAATAAAATATTTGAAATATTTCTCTGTAGATGTGATATTTCTTTTGAGACCAAGATTGCTATCAGTTTTTTCCTGGAAGATTTTGCAGTTAAGAACCTAATACAGGAACAGAAAAATCACTAACTAGAAAGCAAGGCAAGAGAGAGATAGAAAGGTTTAGTTCAGAATTTAATTGTACGGAATAGGGATGGAAAATAAAAAACAAATAAGACAAGAATTTAAGTAAAAATTGCATCTTAATTCCAGACTCAATTCCACGCCCAATTCTATATACTTCCACAGCAAGAATCCATGGCTTTCTTAGTCCATTAGAAAAATTCAACAATCCTCAAAAAGTTCGAAGACAGAACATCTGCCTTAATCAACTTATATGCATACACACAAACATAACATTAAAATTATGCTTTTGGTGTAAATTGAATTCGCCAATTCTGCTTTCCATGGATGGATAATCATTGGATAACTTCTAGCTTTCTAGGATTCCATTTACTCAAGAAGTATTTAATTTCCACAGATTTTTTCTTTATGGCACAAATTGAAATATCTCGTTGAGCATTTTTTTTTTCCATCCCAGAGTGAATACAAAAGGTGCTCCATTCTTTTGCAAAAAAAGAAAGAAAAAAATCAGGACAAACCAATAATCCAAGTAAAAGTAACCAGAAATTTAGAAGCTCATATCATTTTAACTGCACAAGCAGAAGCCAGTACACCAGACAATATAACAACTGTAACGGGAATCAACTTAAAAGAATTCAGAAATTAGAAAATGGAGGCAAATTTTGGAATATTACTTTGTTGGATCATCGGCCACAAGAAAAAAGAAGTTTCCGTTACCTTTCTGTCTGGAATGGAAGGTTTAGGAAATAGAATCGCTGAGGCAACGACTGTAGCAGAACTAGACGACGGCATCTTTGTAGAGTATTGGTGAAAATGCATGGTGGTTGTGGGAAAATAAATGCAAAGCTCAGATTAATTCTATCATTTTTTTCTTTTTTTTGGCAGCAGCCATGAAAATGGTGGCCTTCATCTTCTTCTGCTTGTCGGCTTTAACAAGTCATTTGGACTCAGGCCCATACTAACTTTATCTACCTCTATATGTTTTTGTTCCTTTTCTTTTTTTTTTTTTTAAATAGTGAAAAATATCTTCTAAATTATTAACAAGTCTACATTTGAGCTCCAACATGTCTCTGTTGTCACTCATAAAATCTCATGTGCAATACGCTCATGTTGCTCTAACAATCTCTAGCGCATTATTATCGTGTTTAAATTTTAATAGGAGAATCATTTTCACCAATTGATTGTAAAATAGAAGTAATAATTTAATTTTTAATTTAAATAAAAAAATTTATTCTTTATATTCTAATAAAATAAATAAATTTAGATAAGACTTAAGGTCAAATAGTCAACTTTATAGTTTATTACGTAAGTTAAATATTTTTGACAAATGAGAGATTTGATAAAATAATTTTCTAAAATTTAAGATAAATCACATTTTAATCTTGCTTTAGTAAAAAAAAAATTTCTGTTATAAATTAAAACTAAGATTATTTAATGCTAAACCATCAAAATTAGGTAATTATTTTAAGAAAGATTTTATGTTCTGTTAAATTTTTTAAAAAAAAATTATAAAAATTAAGGCAAAGACTTTGCCTTGAATAGGATTTTTTAACAAAATTATTTGAATTACTGATTTTAATGAATGACATAAATTTATTTTTACACTAACAATGTTATTTAAAATTTTAAATTAACATGAAAGGTATGAGTCAAGAAAGTAGAATAAATCATGAAAGATCATAAGAGCATTTAAAAAACAAATTGAATATCAAGAATAAATTTATTTTTAAATTTGCTTGTCTTCTGTATAATTAGAGAACTCATGGTTAAAGGCTCAATAAGATTTTCTTTAAAATAATCTCTTTAGATTTATGTTGTTTTGTTTGTATATGTGCCATGAAATATGATTATTCAAATCACATAATCACATCTGGGTTGTATTGCTAAAATCTTATAATGTTAGTTTGATACTTGTGATGTGATAATAGACGTGATTATTTGAATTACGTTAGAAAATAGGTTGGTTGATTGTTAAAATGAGTAATGCATTGAAATAAGTGATTCCTACAATCGCACTATGCGACTTAAAGCCTAGAGGTTACAAATTTAACAAATAATGTTGTAAGTGGAGCAACAGTTTCATTTTTAATTTAAAATCACCAAACTCGAAATTTCAAAATTCAAAAGCCCTCTATCCTCTATGTGTCAACAGACTACTATCACCTTCCCTGTCTAGTTGTATCCTCTTTATCCAACACAATCCCTACTACTTCCACTTTCTAAATAACACCTCACTTCACTTACCCCTTTCAGCCATTAGTTCACCACCTACATAACCTCTTCCTTATCCTATCATGTTTTGCTAAACCATATGTTAAACCTTTATCTTCCCTTTTATTGCTACCATCCCTCTCATCTCCTACTCAATTGTCATAGAACATTGACAAGAGATACTCCACTAAAAAAGAAAGAAGCCTCAGTGATGTGATCTTGTATTACCTAAATTTGGTTCCAAAGATGAAATCCTGCACCAAGGAGGAATTCCATGGAAATCTGGACTCTTGTACAATAATTACCTACGAGTTCGCTGCAGCATGAGACCATGCTCCTGCAGCACAACAGACGTGCACACATAAGTCCTGCAAGTCCCATCCCAAACAAGCAAGCAAGTCTAGAATCTCTTTGTTTCCTAAATGGGATCGACTCAAACGGGAAAGTAATGTCTAGTTTCCTAACAGAAACGCCCTGAACAGAAAAGTAAATCACAATTTCCTAATTGGGACGTCCTGAACAAGAAAGTAAATTCTAGTTTCTTAAATTGGGGTATCCTGAAAAGAAAAGTAATTTCATCGTTGACTTTCTTAAATGGGACTATTCCAAGGAGTGGGCCAAATTTTTTCAAAAAATATTTGAAGCCCAGTAATGCTTCATGGGCATGAAGAAATTACAAGCTAAAAAGAAAAGCTCATCTATGGCCCAACCCAAGGTGGCCTAAAGACCTCATGGCTAAAGTGGGCCAAGGCCCAAAAAAGATCCATGGATTGTATATGTTGCACATGTGACCCCCATTGGCAGATGTGTGGACTATTGCATGTGCGAGAGAACCCACCCGCACATGCGAGAACCTCACCTACATGAGGAAGCATGAGAGGCATGCGACCAAGCCAAGCTGCACGTTCGCTTTGTTAGCCCAAACCATAGCCTTTAATTAGAAATTAATTGATGCTATGCAGGCACTCCGCCTTAATTACTATGGCAATGGTGCCTACCTCACCCAGATTCGAGTTTTACCTGATCTTTTCATGAAGATCTGGGAAGCTCAGTCCACGGACCAAGAAATCACCAAAATTTTGAGTAAGTATACTTCTAATGAGTTTCTTGATTTCAGGCTCGTAGATGATGGATTGTGCAGATTTTGGGATCATATTTGGGTCCTTGTCACTATTAGAATATATGTTTTCAAGGCTGTCTATGCCTCCAAACTGTCTATTTACCCTAGGAGTACCAAGATGTACGGGACCTGAAGCGTCAATATTGGTGGCTGAAATGAAGAAGGACATTGTCGATTATGTCTTTTGATACCTTACTTGCCAACGAGTTAAGGCAAAACACCAGAGATCTGGCGGTTAGTTGCAAGGCCTCACTATTTTAGAATGGAAGTGGGAGCGTGTGACCATGGACTTTGTCATCGATCTGGCTAGAACCTATTCTGGTTGCAGTGCAATATGGGTCATCATTGACAGGTTGATCAACACTGCTTATTTCTTACCAATCAAAACCATAAATTCCACTAGCAGATTAGCCTGTCTGTACGTCGATGAGATCGTTTGACTCCAAGACATCCCCTCATCCACTGTGTTAGATCGAGATCCCCGGTTCACCTCCCATTTCTAGGACAGCTTCTAAGAAGCACTTGGTTTGGGATTTTAGTCTAGCACTGCTTATTATCCCCATGCCAATGGCCAGTCTGAACGTATTATCTAGACACTAGAAGACATATTTTGCACTTGTGTCATTGACTTTGGCAATAACTGGTATGAGTATCTTTTTCTATATGAATTACCTTATAATAACAGTTATTATTCCAGCATGAGCATGGTTCTATATAAAGCTCTCTATGGTAGGCCTTGCTGTTCTCCCACTTGTTAGAACGAAATTGAAAACCAACATCGTTTGGGACCAGATTACATCCAGAAAGCTATCGAGAAAGTTGCTATCATTTGAAGGAACTTAGCCATTGCCCATAGTTACCAAAAAAGCAACGCCGACAACCGTAGAAGACCCTTGGAATTTGCAATTGGTGATCAAGTCCTCCTTAAGATCTTCCCTTATAAGGGAAAAATGCAGTTCAGTAAGAAGAGAGAGCTGAGCTCCCATTATGTGGGACCTTTTCAGATCGTGGAATGTGTTAGAATTGTGGTGTACCACGTTGCTTTACCTTGAGAGCTTATAGGTCTACTTGAACCTGCCTCTGACCCTTATAACATCATTTTTCATTAAAAGATGCAGGTTCAAATTGATATGACATACAACGTGCTCCTCGCAGAAATCCTTGATTGGATCAACAAGGTTTTGCGCAACAAGAGGATTCCTATGATAAAGGTGCATTGGCAACACCACACTTCAGAAGAGATGACGTGGGAGTTGGAGAGTGAGATGTGAGAGAAGCTCCCAGGCATATTTATGACAAATTTGGGGGGCAAAATTTTTTAAGGTGCGGGGAATGTAACACCTCGAAAATATTCATGCTTAATTTGTAACGTGAACCCCTATTTATTCGGGCCCTAAGGCCATTTAAACTCTTTAATATTTCATATCTTAGTTTTTAGATGAATACTATATTTTGTATTTTAATCTCATAGTTTATTTTGTTTAATAATTATTAAAATTATTTATTTTAATTATCTCGTTAGTGATTTTTACTTTTGGAAATTATATAAAAAGATTTTGGAGAAAAACGAAGAAAAAGTGGAAAATCTTGCAGGAATGCCCGGGGGAAAAATCCCACCAGCGCGCTGCATGCACGCGGCCAGCACAGAACCTCCCGTCCATGTGGGGTGCGAGGTGTAGTCTGCGCTAGCATCCCATCACGCACAGAAGGGCGCACGGCTCCGTGCGCCCTGTGCCGCGACCATCTGTGTTGTAGGCTTGCGAGTGCGACAAGCTAGGCTTGTAACGCGCAGTTGGCTGGGGCAGTGAGTACTGCCTTGGGCTGTGTGCGTTGCCGATTATGAGGCAAGTCATCGCTGGCTTGGGCAGCGTGTCCTCGTCGCTTGGGTGACATGCTACCATTTTTTGGGTGGCATGCCTCTGATTATCGCGTTGCCTTCACATTGCATCGTCATTCGTCGATCACATCCGTCGGTCGTCACATCTCATCTTTCTCATTGAATTTATCTCTCCTCATCAGATTTTTCCGATTGACACAAATCCAGTGGTCTCCATTTTCTATAAATAGGGACCCTCTCTTCACCATTTCCTCTTCACTTCTTTGTCTATTCTTCTATCCTCCAAGAGCTTTAGAAAGAGAGGGGGCGATATAGAGAGAGAGGGAGAGGAGGAGAAGAAGAAAAGGCATAGAAAATATCAAAGTTTCGGTAAAGAATTTAGTATTTACTTTTAAACATCTTAAGGAGTATTTATAGATTAAAATTTACAAGATGAAATTAAATAGTTGCATGATTTAGTTCATATGCCTAAACGAACTAATTTTGCATGTTGATACATATTTTAAGATCGTATATGAACTTATAAATTTGCATGTGTAATTAAAATGATTTAATGCTTAAGAGAAACATTGATATATGATGCAAATGACGATGAAAAAATGATTAAGCATGCAATGATATATAGACATGAGAAAAATATATTGGCGTTGGCATGCATAATTTATAAAGTATTTTCATTAGGCTTTTTATCTATGAGGAATTTCTGTTTCTCCCCCATCTGGTCTGAAAAGACGTGAGACGGCCACTCCCTATGGAAGAGGACATACCCTCT